TAACGTAAAGTATTATTACCCGCGAACCAATGAGTCAAATTTAAGAAACAACCCACTGTTAGAAAGCTGAATGGCTACGCTTTAAAATGAATGTAAACTTTAACGTTTTCGTCTATTATTTGTTTAGCAATTTACATTTCAGCAATTTATATTATATATATATATATATATATATATATATATATATATATATATATATATATATATATATATATATATATATATATATATATATATATATATATCCCTAAGTATCCATACTTCTAAGCATGATTCAAAAGTTTCTCGATTTGGCAAAAGTACTTATGACACACATCTCATGCACACTTGTATAACATAGACATTGAATTCCATATACGATTATTAGCGGCCCAATCGATTATATTAAGGAGTTTACGATCTACGACGCGACCGGCTCGACGACGCGCTTTCAAAACAAAAAATTGATGTTTCCCGACAAACAATAGTATTATATGTTTTATTTTACAGTATGTATTATATGTATTATATGCAAACCTACAAAGAAATTTGCCATTCAAGGCAAAACTGTCAATAAATCGTGGTCCCAGGAGTATTGTCAACCGCGTTGTCATTCTCAACACAACGTTAAGGGGGCCCTCTACCCTCATTTTTTTTGTTCGCGAACCTATGTACAACAGTAGCTCTATCTTATTATGGTTTAATGTATATGTAACATGCCATATATCATTTTAAAGCTTATAACATTATCTACACAAATATCATTACAGATGACCTCCAAGGAAAGAACTTAAATGTATAAGAACCATGTAAAACCGAAAAGGGTAATTTTTAACCCGTCCATGTTTGAAATCTGTCTAGTAAAAAACTAAGCATCAAAACTTGATATATTTAAACATGCATTATATTACGTCTTTCAGTCAACGTGAAAGCTTAATCGACACAAGAGGAGGTGTTACTTAAAGTCGAAATTACAGCAAACATTGCATCGCTTCAGCCGAACGTAGCAGTTTGTAAGGTTATTTGAAAAAAGCGTGAAATTTTTTTTACAGTAATCAAATTGCTTACCGCTCATTCTTGAGCTGAAATTTAGACCGCGTCGTTGAGTCGGCCGCGCGTCGTAGATCGTAAACTCCCATTTGTCTCCACGACGGAGGTATCACTGTCGTTTGTTTCTTTACATCATCAGCAGAATGTATATTATCTAAGCCAGAACAGGTTTTATCACAGAGCTTAGACTTTCAAGGAAAGTTGTGTTCTTTCAGGCTGCGAGCAGGCTAAGCCACTGTACATGCAAGCGAAGACATTCTATATTTTTGAACTGAAATATACCAAGGCTTATGATTCCGAAAAAAACTAACGGACTATAATGCCTCGGCCAAACGAGAACAAGAGTTGCATGATAGTCGATGAGAGTTTACTGCATGATATTAGCTACTTAACCTTTCCAACTTATATATAACTTCCAAAATTAACTCTCATCAAAATTCGACCATGCAGCTCAAAGTCGATGAGAGTTGACTCAGTGTCAACTTGTGAGAGTTGGAACATTCGTAACTCTCATCATTCGTAACTCTTACTGTCATAATACAAACGTGTACTTAATACAAACCAGCCACTTGTCCATTCCTTAAAATGAAAAGGCTGCATGCTTAACTTCGTGCGCGCGATTAATGTTTTAAACTACACGCGTGTAAGAACGCACAGCTTGTAACAAGTCAGGAAACAAGTTGTTACAAGTCTGTTCACAAGCTGTCAACCATAGATATCTTATATACACTAGATAGTACATCTAATTATTCTGCAATTCAAAAATTGAAGCCGTGATTGCAGACTCAGGTCGTTCCCATGAAGATTCGTATGTTTTCTATTTCTTAAACAGGGAACTTAAAACATTAAGTTAACCCTATAGACCCTTTTCATAAATGGCTGCCGATTAAAAATTCTTTTATGTGCATATAAATGGCCCAACTAGCCTCGTTTCGGGGTAGAAATTCCTTTGAAATCTTAACATGAGTACGAGGCTAGTTGGGCCAATTTATATGTACATAAAAGAATTTTTAATCGGCAGCCATTTATGAAAAGGGTCTATTCCAATACGTTTTTAAATTATTCAAATAATGAAAGTTATTGTTGTTTTTAAGCGTTTATTAGCGAGTGGGAACGACCAACATGGCCGCCATCTATTCAAATGGGGGTAACCGCTGGAGTATTCTTGGCTTCAATTCTACTAAAAGAGATGCGCTATCTAGTGTATATCAGATATCTATGCTGTCAACGAGTTGTCTTCGCACTGCTTGTTCCAGCTGTTTGTTGTAACAAGTTTGAAACAAGCTGTTAACAACTTGTAACAAGCTTGATGGCCTTGTTAGCCTTGTTACAAGACTGTGCTAACAAGGTTGTTACAGCCATGATATAACAAGGATGTTACAAGGTTGTCAACACAAGGTTGTAACAATCGTGTGATATCAAGCATGTAACGGACTTGTCAGAACAACCTGCAACAAGTCTGCATGATAATTTCGACAAGGTTGTTACAAGTTGTTCCAAACCTGTTGACAACTTGTGATCTTGTTGACGGCTTGTTGGCAGACATGTTACAAGATGTGAGATTTTTGCGTGTGTTCTACAAAATTGTTTATGTTTGACGTCACAATTAATTAACAATTATGCAATTAGAACAACGCGAAACATTCTAATTATCATAATTAGCGTCGTAATTGCGCTTCAGTTGTCTACTGCAAATCTGCAGTTTAAAACATGTCTGAAAACGATGTCCAATCGCTCAACTCGGATTTCTCCCGTCTCAACGTGTCAGACAGCGCAGAATGCTTGCTATTGGAGGAAATGCGCGAGATGCTGACGCAAGAATGGATCGCGTTCTTGGCTGACAATAAGCGCGGGAAAAGCCTGTCCCGCATTCGGGCTGGTGCCCCAGCCGCGGGCGAGTTATCGCGGATTGTTCGGGTTATGCAACGGAAGATGAGCGGCGATAAGTACCTGAAAATGCAGACATGTATACGGGAGTTTAGAGATCTACCCGGGGTCATCGCTATGGAAGATACACTGCTGAAGTTGTCCGTGCATTTGGAGACTGCACCGCCCGAAACAGGTGAAGTGACGTAACAGCAGGGATGGGTACAGGTTGATCTGGTGGAGGAGGGGGATGCTGCATGAATGTGGTGGGGAGGGGGATGCTGCATGAGTGTGGGGAGGAGATTTCCTACCTATTTCTACCTTTCCCTCCCTACAAAATTCGCATACCCCTTTTGATAAATTCCATGTTAAGATAATTTAGATAAGATAATTTGTTGAATGATAACATGTTGAATCCTAAGTTTGCTTCCCCAATGTTGAGCTTCGTGTCATGGTAAATTACCAAAAGTTGTTTCGGCGTTGTTTACAACATTGAACTGGGGAACAGGGGGTGACGAAGTTTGTTTTGTCAATGTGCATTAGCTTTGCAAGATTAGCTTGAACGGTCTCAAGGGTTCTGTCCAAGATTGTAGCTATGGTATTAATGGACAACTTGCATGTTAGACTAAATTTTAATCTAAGCACGTAAAGAGAAGGGAATCAAACACCACAGCTAAAAGAACATAATGAAATTAGTAAAATTGTAAATTTGGTTGCGAGATGTTGTAAAGCTTGGAAACTATAGCCTTGCAAAGTTTGCAAATGTTGTATTTTCGGGTCAAAAATGGTAACAATTTCCTACAAAATATGCAAACTTCGTACGGCTATATTTTCCGTATTTTACAACATTTCGTAACCAAATTTTGCAATTTTACTAATTTTAATAAGTTAGAGTAAAGAGTAGAGTAAAGTAAAGACTTTAATTGCCTAGATAAAAAATTAGTCTATTCTTTGAACGAAATTTCGAGCTGCAAGCGGGCTATCACCAGCAGTGCAACCAACTTGCAATTTTCTTTCATTGTAGGTGAAGTGAAGAACTACTCGAAACGCGTTTTGTGGCTCGAGGCATTCTGCCACATCACCGGAACATTGGTAGGACAAATGGATGTCATACTAAGCTTCCTTAAAGGACGCGAGACTCGAGAAGTGTTAAAGAAAACCAAAGATTTGTTGGCAAGTACCAGCGCACATTCTATCCAATCTCGAAGTTCTGTGAACAGTACTGCACAGCCGCAGGCCGATGACAATTTGAACTCGCTACCTGGTTACTGTATCATATTGTAAGAAACTAAGAATCAAGTACATACGTAAGGACCTCCAATGTAAAATTTGAAATATCAAACATATGAAAAATGAAGTGAGGAAAATATATGTTGTTTTTTATATGAAATCGTTTTCCTATAAACCTTGAACTTTGACGTGTGACAGTTTGCAGTGGTAATCCGATGTGGGAGGGTGATCCCCGGTTAGTCTACTCTGAGACTAGAACTGAAAATCCGCTTTAATTTAAAAAGTTGTTATATCCATTTGTAGCGGAATATCAAGGTTTTTCAGGAATTTTAGGGCTGTTGCCCTCATCTCATCACAAGTGTCAATGCAGTAAGGATGAAGTTGTTTGAGTTAAAATTGTGACTTAGAAGTAATTTTTCCTAAGAAGAAAACCAACGTACCACCTGCAATTCGTTTCACAACACAAAATCAAAGCAATTTTGAGCTGTTCTGAAATGTATGAGAGGCGCTACGCAGGCTAAAAATAAAAATCTAAAAATTGTGAAGCTTGGTGAAGTTTCTGGGAGACCCCTAGCTCCGATTAGGTAAACTCAATCCACTCTGTGAAAACGGACCGAGCAAAAATCCTGAATAAACCTTTCCCTGAAATATATCAGTTGGAAAAATATCAGGATTGGAATATTCTGCGCAAAATATTCGAGTCTGCGTGGATTACACGCGGGATGAATACGTGGCATAATGGTAATGACCACTGATTACCATATAACGAATGTTCAGATGACTGATCAATATGGCCGTATATTTCATATTTCTGCCAAACTATGGTAAGAAGTCAAGTGGAAATTATGGCTGATCAAGCCCGTCTTGAGAAAATTGCTTCTGCTAGGAAAAAGGTGAGATATTGCTTTACATTTTTGCTTTTTAATTTTGCAAATACGTTGAATAGTAGCCGAGTTATTAGCGGTCAAAGAGACATGTTTTGAACTGGAATGCCGATGTTTTTGTCCTAGCTTAAGAAATTTCAACAAAAGAAAGGCCCTCCTTCGACTCCGCCAAAGTTACCAATCAAACCAGCAGAAGTTGGACCAAGCCAGACATTAGAAGAGAATGAATTTGTAAGTATTAGTCGAAAACAAATGTTCTGTAAAAATAACTAAATGGTTTTTAATATTTATAACATTTTTCGAATGCAAAATATCAATATTTTAATATGGTTCTATGTTACCCTATATGTATGCCGAGAAATTTCAATTTCTTTATAATTAAAGAGACTTATCCATTATTCTTTGAGCTAAACAAGCGACTTGAAAATGCTTATAGTTTTATTAGCTTTATTTGTTTTTTTGATTGAAACGTCACATGAGATTTTTTGACATGACTTGTTCATTGTGTCAAATTTTTCGAAATTAGGCTATTCAACAAATTGATTTTGTCCCATGGTCATTGGTTTGTTTCATGATAAAATTGATGAGGCATACAAAATGTAATTGAATAATAACTAGGGAAGGGGACAAAAACAAATTGATTGAAATATATATTAACCCATTGAGCGGCAATGCGCCCCAGTGCGCCCTACTTATTCTTTTTTACTTATCTAACGCCCGATTTTAGTCGTCAATGGGGAAGCTCTGCAGCTTAATGGGTTAATTACCTTCTTCCTTCTTGTTCCGAATGCGTGAAAAGCTTTTCCCTTCTTTTAGCGTTGTATAGAACCGTCTTGTTCTTTCACCCATTGAGTTGCATTACCGCCTAATGCACCTTACTATTTTACTATTTTACTCTGTCTAACGGCAGACAATTTCACTTGTCAAGGGGAGAACTCTGGCACTTAATGGGTTAATCGGGCTATCTGACCATGTGTTTACTTATAACCCAATAAGTTACATTGCACCCTAATGTGCCCCACTTTATTATTTTACTCTGTCCAACACCAGACAATTTTACCCGTCAATGGGAGAGCACTGGCACTCGATGGGTGGAATTACCACACAGAGTCATTTCACCAATAACAGTCTTCGGTAAAACCACTTCAAGCATAAACAAAACATTGTTAGACACGACCACCGACTAATGAACAAACAAACTTGTAAACAAACGAACATGGTTAGACATGACCACCATGGCTTGAAATTTGTGAGATACAAGGCAGTCTGGCATACATCCACCACGAAAATCTGTATCCCACATTTGGCTAGTAACATAATTTCAAACCTTGAAACAACCGCTAAAATAAATTTTCGATTGTTATGAATTGTTATAAAGGATTCATACAGTATACTGTACTGTACAACAGAAAAATGCACTATCTGTGGAGGATACTGCAAATTTAAAGGTGTGACCACCAACTAATAAACAGGCAAAAACAAACAAACATTGTTAGACATGACCACCAGTTCATGAGAGGGACTTAGTTGGTTCATTTCATTTCATCATTTAGGAGGTGGTAAATGCTCCAACAGTTGATCAAACTTTGAAGAATGGATCTTATTCTTCACCATCAGTTGATAAAATCAAACAAATGGTATGTTATATACAGTTGTTTGACGTACGACATGGCCAAAATGGGAAAAAAACTTGAGGACATTATTCTCCCCAGCCTAATTCAAGGCTCAGACAACAGGACAAACAAAGTCCCAAATTAAGTTCTGCCTGACATGCAGGACTTAATTAAGTCCTGCCTGACCACCCTTCCCCAATGCTCTGTATGGCTGTGAAGAGCTATATTATTCTTAGTTGACATATATTGTATCTTTGCTTTCTGCTAATACTTTTTTTCTTTTAATTTACCAACAGTTAAATGGTTTTGCCAAGCAGGTACAGTAACTATAATTATTTTGTTTTTAAACTATTTTATTAAATGGATGCATTTTTCAAAGTGGATCTTTTATTAAAATGGGTTTAAAGTTTTGAAATGGTTGCTACAGTATCTTTAAAAACTACAAAGATGAAGTTTGATGCAAATTATACAGTGTATATATTCACTGTATAAATTGAGTATGCTACAATGAAGACTTTGTTTTACTTTATCAAGGAACAAGTGAATGGCGAAGATCCCATTATTTCAGAAATTGATGCACTGGAGGTACAATAATGTTTATAGCATATTTTACACAACTATATTTTTATCCATACACAAGAAGGGTTTATTTTGGGGTTTTGAAACACTGATAAACTGAGGCACCAGCCAAATTATTCAATACACTTTGATGTGTTTTGAAATTACTAAAAAACGACTTGGAGTAGCCTCCTCAGCATGTGACTCGGTGGCAAAAATGGCAGAACTACAGTATGCAATATTTGTTAGAGCATGGCAAGTGATTGTGAGCTGGTGATGAGGGGAATGAAGGGGCATGGCAGTAATGAATCTTACTGCACAATCATCCCTCATTATCCCCTGTCGAATGACGATATTTTGATTCTTGATTGGAGACATTTCTCGTCTTTGGTTTTGAACCGCAAAAAAAATTCTAAAAATTTCATGATCTCTGGCACAGTCAAAATCAGGCATTTACTTCTCAATGACTATTTATATTGTATCTCGCCAACAGTCAAAATTTCACTGTCTCTGGCATAGTCAAAATGAGTCACTTGTTTCTCAGCAAGTATTCGACCTATGCTCGCAAGTTGTAGCCCCCAGATACCTCTGTCCTTGACATTTTATTGTGTGGAAATTCATGAAGATAGTTTAAATACTTTTCGATTGGCGACATTTCTTTTTGATGTTGAACTGCGAAAATTCCTCCTTTGCATGACCAGGGCTTAACTTTTTTCAGCAAAGAAATTCTGATTTGGAACGAAATTTAACATCTCATAAAAGAAACAATGAACAACTTGGAAATCATGTCAATGAGCAGGTAAACAAATCAATTTAATATAATTATTAATTGATAACCCATTGTCATAATCATGAAGTATTGATGATGTGTGGTGCAGTTTTAACATGTCAATTTAAAAACCTGAAATCCAAACAAAAGGGAACCAATATTAGAATTCCAATGTCACAAACAGAAAGGCATAGACAATCTTTTATTCCGAGAGCTATAAGATTTCTGCACTCTAAATAAATTTTAACTGTATTATAAAAACTTTTATCTCAACAAATCTATTTTAATTATTGTATATCACTGTAGCTATGCAATGTAAATCTAATATTAACATGTCATGTTAATACCATTGTATTTCTTTTGCCTAGATGGTAATTAAAGGATATATATTGTTATTATTAATATATTAATATTATTTTACCTTTTAAGTAGCATTGTGCCCCAATGACATGTACCACACTTTGTAATTTTGCTCTATCTAATGCTGTCAAGGGGAGTACTACAGTGCTTGCACTCAATGGGTTTATGTTTAGTTATAAAATATTTTATTTTCAGAGAAAACAAATTATTCAACTTCAAGAACAGATTAAAAAAGTAAGGCGATGGAATAATTACTTAATCATGTCACTCCCAGTCAGTTCACATCAAGAAATTTTCAGTTGTGCTTGTGTTAACTTGAGTGCAACAAGCAAGAATGTTAACTGTAGTTGGAAAAGCTTTTGTCCTCCAACAATCACGTCTCTAAAGGGTTATATAGAAACAGCATTATGGTTCTATTTGTTGCTTTCGTTATCATTTGATTAAATTGAACTGAACTAAGTGTTTTCTGTTTTACTGTAGGAGAGGACAGAGCTTGCCAATCGACAGCTTTTGGAACAAAGGTCATTAAAAGAGCAATTGGAAGTATGTTTGACTTTTTGTAATTTGTACATTACATTTTGTAGTAAACGAGTGAAATATTGGTATGTATGATTTACATGTTAAAAATTAACTTGCACCATCATCGAAACACAATGTGAAAATTACGTCATTGAAATCATATATAAAAACTGCTGAATGGCATCTTATTTTCACAATTGACCATTTGCGTAATAGACTAAATTTTGATCTAAACAAGTCTAGACAAAAATTTCATCACAGCTTGAAAGAGCATCACAAAATTAGTAATATTCCAAAGTTTCGTTGCGAAATGTTGTAAAATGCGGATAATATAGCCTTGCGAAGTTTGCAATTTTCAGTCATTTTAGATTACGCACGGGAAATTGACAGCCCCAAAGGGTATTGGGCTATCAATTTCCCGTTTGTAATC